CCCCAAGTAAAGTGTTTGCCCCAAACTTATCCACAGGGCCTTGATGGAGAGGAAATCAGGAGCCCAAATGAATTATATGAAATGATAAAAAAAAATCAATAAGGTGCTCAGTAAGCTCAGAGAGGATAACTAAATGATAACGGACTTTATACATAAAACAGTAAGTAAGACACAGAAGGCACTAATAAAAAGCTACTGGGCTAAACAAAATGATGCAAAACATGAATAACCAGTTTAGCGAAGCATTAGAGTCCTAGAAAAGTTACCAAACAGAAATCAAGGAGATAAAAATGCTGTGGATAAGATCAGCAGCAGCAGAGACTGAAGCGAGAATAGTGTCAGAACTAGAAGATAGGGCTGACAGGTAACAATATATTCAGAGATGCCTTAAAAATAATATGAGAACATTAAAAATGAGTCCAACAGTTGCTAGATGATCGAACAGAAATTAAGAAAATGGAGACTAAAAAATCTGTAAAGAATGAATGAATCTAAGAGTTGATTTTTTAAAAGAATAAACAAAATAGACAAACCCTTAGCTAATCTTACCAAAACAGGAAAACAAAGACCCAGATCAATGCAATCAGATACATACATACATACATAAGAATAAACAAAATAGACAAACCCTTAGCTAATCTTACCAAAACAGGAAAACAAAGACCCAGATCAATGCAATCAGAAATGAAAAAGATGAAGTAACAAGAGACACCAGTAAAATCCAGAACATTATTAATAACTACTTCAAAAACCTGTACACCAATAAATTGGAGAACCTAGAAAAATAGATAGATTCCTAGATACATATGAATTACTGAAATAGTAAAGAAAATATAAAAACTCTGAATAATCCAATAATAGGTAGTAAAATTTAAAATGCAATAAAAAAGCATAGAAGCATCTTATTTCAATCTGATAACAGCTATTTGTGACAAACCTACTACCAACATTATATTAAATGACAGAAAACTGGATGCAAGGGAGCCACGGGCAGGGAGTGCCGGTCTTCCAGCTGGCTCACTCCCTGCCTCGTAGGCGCCCAGAAGGAGGGCCCCCGCGCACG